GTAGCTGAGGCACAGAGTGCTAAGGTCATGATCCCAGAAAGGCTTAAATCCTTCCTCCCAGCAGCCTGGGATGTGTGTGGTCCTGTGGGGAACACAGTCTTGGCGCTCTGCTGGCACTGCCCCAGTTATCTCTACACTGCACTGCTGAACCTCACATCAGATGGTTCTGTGCTGTCTGGAATGACAGCCTTTAGCGCGGCATGACAGAAGCGGTTCAGAGCTGACATGTTTGTCTTCTGCTCAATGTACAGCCTCAGTTTGTCCCTGAAGGTCTCCCCGAGGAAGCTGTAGATGAGCGGGTTCAGGCAGCTGTTGGAGAAAGCTGCAAGGTTGACAATGTGGCCGGTTAAGGGGTATGCATGGCGGAAAGATTGCTTGCAGGGTGCAGCCCCTGGCTGTGTGCGCTGGAGGAGATGGACGCTGATGAAGATGTTCTCAGGCAGCCAGCAGATGAAGAAGACAAGAACCACGGCAAAGATCATTCGTAGGGCCTTCTGCCGCCGGGGACGCAGGCCTCGGTGCCTGTGGGCTTTGACAAGAACCCGGATGATGAGCGAATAACAGAGGCCAATGATGGCGAAGGGGATGATGAAGCCCAAGGTGACCTCCAGCCACTGTACCTCCTTGACGTCAGCGAAGCAGAAGCAAACCTCTTCGGTGTGCTGCAGGTGCACGGCCGTGAAGGGCACGAGGGTGGCGGAGACAGAGGCCATCCAGATGAGACCGCAGCTCAGCCTGGCGTGGTGTTTTGTGCGGAACAAGCCTGAGCGCATGGCCCTGGCTAGGGCAATGTACCGATCAAAGCTCATCCACGTGAGGAAGAAGATGCTGCTGTACATGTTGATCTGCAGGAAGAGGGACATGAAGGTGCACAGGACAGTGATGTCATAGTACTGCTCGTCCAGGTTGAACACCTCGATGAGGGAGTCAGCCACCAGGATGAGGTCCGCCGCCGCCAGGTTGATGAAGTAGAGGTCAGGAATGGTCATCTTCTCCCGGAAGCTGATGTTAACCACCAGGATCAAAATGTTACCTACAAAGCCAATGGGGAAGAGGAAGATGGTGTAGAGACACGAGAGGAACAGGCCGATCACATACTGCTGGTGCTCAGAGAGGTCTCCTGAGTGGTTGGCCAGGGTGGTGCCCGCCAGCACGTGCGACAGGTTGAGCAACGGGAAGGTGCTGTTCTGGGCCACCGTCTGTGCAGCGCCCGGGGACAGGGACCGCTCCATGCCAGACGCAGGCTTGAAGAGCCACCCACGTCTCCACTGCGTGCCACCTTCAGGACTTGCCAAAAGGTTCACAGAAGTCTGTTTTAAGCAGTGAATCCATCTTTAGAAAGAAGGGCAATTGTCTTTGAAGTGAGCCAGACATCTGTGGAAGCAGAGCCGTCAGGAGCAGCACTCAAGGCGGGGCAGCCCCGGCTGTTTGCAGAAAATTGAGCGAATGGTCAAGATACACTTCTGCTGGTCTACGGGTGTTGGCAACTGACGCTGCCTCACTGCTCAGCACCTGATGTTGCAGTGCTACCTGGACGCCGGATGCCACCACATACCTGGGCTCTTGATGTTGCCACACGCCTGGGCACCTGGGAGACAAATATGGGACGTTTAAGTCTTGTCTGGAAGCCTCGGCTGCTGCGAAGCCAGACACTTCAGCCAAGTCTCTGCAGTGACAGCTTGGCACAAGTGTGTAGGGGACAGAACTGAATTTTGTCCTCCAGAGAGATGTTGTCCCTGAGCTGAAGGAGAAATACTGTTTTCTCTCCCAACGGCTCCCAGAGCTGCTTGGTCTTGTTGGAGGCCGGACATTGAGTCATGCTCATATGCAGGGACGCCTTTTTTTCCCTTTTAGTCAAATAGCAGGCTAATGAAATAACAGGGATCTTGGGCATGGAAAGCTTAGGAAAACTACTATTTGTCTGGAGAGGAAATCAAATTTAGTTCAGCAGCTGTTGGACAGAGAAGTAAGATGGGAAGGGAAAAACCCAACTTTTAGAAGAAGAGAGTGCATCCGGACCCTTTGTGGAAAATGGAGTGGGGTTTCTTTTTGATCCTGCTAACTTTTAGACTACCCCTACTACTGTTATGTTTGGGTGCCCAAAATAAAGCTTTTCTCATAGTCTTGAATGAAAGTGAGAAAATAAGGAACAAAAGTGCCATGTGATTGTTTTAGGATCTAATGTTTAAGAGTTGTTCAGTGTTTTGGCACATCGCAAAGCCTACAGTATTTTAGCACTGCTCGCTGTAACCCAGACACTGGAAGGGGCGGCTGGTCCCTGTGACGTGGCTCATCCACTGTGCTTCAGGCAGGGTCTCCGTCCCTGGCTGTTTCACCTCACTCCCAAGTTGTGCCCTGTGGGATCATCCTGGGGAGGAAAGTGCTCCTGGCATGGAATGGGCGGAGACCCGAGTCAGCAGTGTCGGGGGTTGGTGGGGTGGCTAGAGAACAGGGACTTGTCACATAGATGTGGATTTGAGAGTTTTCGTTTTACCCTGTGAGCTTACTAGGAATCATTTTGAAGTGTTGCCAAACCAGACTAGACATTTATTAACCTGTTGCTTGAAAATATTGCTTTAAAACTAAAAGGAAAATAGAAGTCATGACTTGGTGTTGTTATTTAAACACTATTCAATAGCCCTGGCTTTGTTAGGATTGATAAATTTTATTTTATTAACCTTATTGGGTAGTCTTTACTCACTTTTAGGAGATAATCCCAATTTGAACCACATGTAAGTTATTGTTTTCAGATTCTGTTTGTAATGCATAAAGCCTCTATTTCATTTTCTTTGTTAAAACTGCTCAGACCTTCGGTCCTGCTCTTTAAATGTGGAAATTTTGTGAGGTGTTAGGCTGCCTATTTGGAGGAAAACAGGAGGACGAGTAGAGTTCTCTCCTTTCATGTGTTCTCTTACCTATGTTTGTTAAGGGGAGTTTTACTTTCACTTCTATCTCACATAAATGGAGTCTTCTGATCCTTGACAAATAACTGTTTTCTCTGTCAAGTACTTTTATTTTTGTAATGGTCTAACGAAAAGATCTTCGCTGTGAATGCAGTGTCCTCATGAAAGCTGACCATGAACTTATAAATAAGAAGGTGGGTATTGAACAGTTTCATGTCCTTTTGTTTCAGATTTCACTGCTTGTCCAGACCTAGAAAAGTAGGGCCACATTTTTGGCAGCTCTGTTGGGTGGGCATCCTGTAGAAGAGTATTAATTCACCCACTATGTTTGCATTTGCACTGAGAGGCTGAGTCCCTCTCATGTTTGTAAGATAGTGAGGAAGTATTTTCTTGACAGGAGGCATCACTTCACTTGAACAAATATGATAGAATACTGGATAGTATTTTTTTTTGACATGTGTCATAAAAAGATCCTTTGTGTAAAGCCTTCCTTACTGTAGCCCCCTAGAAACTATTAGAGCAACTGGGCTCTCTGGAGCATGGATGGTGCTTGGCACTCCTCTAGAAACCAGAGGTGCCTGTGTTTATCCACACCTGTATACAACTCTGAACCAGCACACTGCCCCTTAGGCAAGACCACTGGGCCGGTCCCCTGGCCCATCTCCACTGGGGCACTGACCGATCGCAGAACCAGGTCCCCTGACTGAGACTTACCTGTGCTGCCGACGCCACCCGACTTGGTGTCTCTCGTCCCTGGGAGGTCTCCCTGGCCAGCTGAGGGGTATGTGTTCACTGCAGACTGGAGGGGCAGCTGGAACTTTCCAAAAGGTGGTGGGGACTCTGGACTTGAGGGGTAGAACTCCACCTGTCCGAGAAGCCTGGAGCTCTTGTGGAAGCAGGAGTCCGGTGGGAAGGTTGCCCAGGGAGAACCCCTGTCATTGTCCCTGAGTTGCTGACAGCCAAGGCAAGGCGCCCAGCCAGCAGCAGCCAGCAGGCTTTATAGGTCTGGACTACACTGGACAGCCTCCTTAGAAGGCTTGCATTAACCATTTTTTTGCTGGCCTTTTTTCTCCTACCCTTTGGCACTGAACTGGGTGCCATTGAATGTTTTTATGGAAGTTTCCAGTTTAATTGCTTTTCTTCACACATGGATACAATTTAAGTTTCAAGGGATTGTAATAAGTCTTGTTTATCTTTTAGACAATAACTGCCATTGTTTGTTGAAACTTAAATACTCTTGCCCTTTTTAGTACCTGACTGGCTTTAAAACTAAACACTAAATATCCTAAATTGAGAGCGTAGTACGAATTGCACAGAGAATTGAACACAGCAATTTCAGAGACATTTGCAGAAAAAAATTGAACCCAAGTAATAGTGGATATTTTAAGTAAGTAAATTAGCAATCAAAGGAAGTAGCTTTTCTGCTCCCTATGTAGCTGGGCCCAGGTTTCCCCATTCCTGTGCTCCTGAAACTACAGGTACTGGTGACAGCTCAAGACCCCTCCACCCAGCCACCTCCTCCTAGCTGTATCTGAGTGCTTGCTCTGTGTGGTCAGATGAATTTGTCCTTAGGTCTGTCTGCAGGGCCGTCTGAGCACCCCCGTCCTGGTGGTGGACTTTAAAGGTTGGCTTGGAGACAGCGACAGGGCTTTGTGGGCCAGGAATACTCCCAGGGCTGCAGCTTAGGTCTAGAAGACCCCCATCGCCCTGCAGGTTCAAGAGATGTGGTTTTCATCATGGACACATTTTAATTGATCTCATTCCTTCTTGGAGTCTTTTTTACCCTTTTGCTTTTTTGTAACTGTGAGATTGAACCCCAAGTGATGTTTTGTATTACCACATCTGAATAAAGCAATTGCAGCCGAGTTTGGCCACAAGGTCAGCCCTGCATGCTCCTGGAGGAGAGACATTGATGACGGGTGTGACTAGGCCAAGGTCTGGTGGGACAAGGGCTGAGCCAGATGCAGAGCCTACCTCAGGGACAACAGTTACCACGTCACCAGCGTGGCTGCAGGTCAGCTTCCTGTGTGTACCGAATATTGCAAATGAACATCCAGGCACTCTGGAAGGTCATTTAATGATAAAACTTCAGACACATGTTTTGGGAGATAGACATATACTTTTCACCAGAATACTGTACTGAGCATTTTTTCCGCTCTAGAATCCAGCCGTGATCTACTATGTTAGCTTTTTAAAACTTTGAGTGCCATGATAACATAAAAGAAGCTGTTTTGATTTTAGGCATTTTCTTTGCCAGCCTTGAACTCAAGATGATTTCAACAGTGAAAATGAGACACCATTTTGAAAGAAATGAGTCATGAGAAAGTACAACTTCCTCTTGAGTTAAATAAATAAATAAAGTAAAAATCCAAGCCTTGAAATAGCCAAGACGTGTTACTTAAAAATAGCTGCTCCCAGCTCGGCCACTGCCCATGGTGCGCCCCCATCACCACCAACCCAAGAAGCTGAGGTTGGGGGCCGCATGCACAGGTGACACCCGCGCATTTTCTGCAGCACTCACTTCTGGGTATTGGGTCTGTGACTGCAACTGTAGTTTGGTCTGAAAGACTTGAGAACAGAGCCGTGTTGGAGTTATGAGGTCATGGGCCTTTCCTGTCAGTGTGCTGGCTGGTTCAGTGACATGTCAGCCCTCACACACACTATCAGAACTGCAGTCCCACTGAAGCTCATTGACTTTGCGGGGAGGGGCTGAAGGGGCTCAAGGCCTCCGTGCATTTCAAACCCAACGTTTAGTGACTGCTTGTCCCAAGACCTGTGCTGTACTGGCTCTCGGGGGCCCTGGGAGCGGAGCTACTCTCCTTCCTCTCTGATGGGGAAACTGACCTCTGTCTTGCAAATGCAGTCCAGCATGGAGGATGCCCCATAGACTGACTCCTCCTAGCCTGGTGCTTCCCTGGCTGCCTTATTTGCCAAGTAGTTGAACTTACTTGTTTTCTCCCTGTCTCCTTTCCCCCCACTGTCACCCCAGTTCTCTTGTGTGGCATCGATTGTTCTGTCACCTTCCATGAATAACCATCCTTATGTGGGTGTCATCTCTTGTCCCCTTCACCTCTCCTCAGGAGAGATGTGGAGCCAGGATGGGAACCGGCCTCATTTGTGCAGAGCCAGGTTACATAATTGGTTGCCTTGACATCTCTTCTACCTTTCTGAACCTCAGTGCTCATTGTCAAGGGGTGCATGGGACCGT